CCTTATCACTGGAACTGGCTAGGATATGTCTTGGGTATTGAAAATAACTGTAGGTGTGAGTACTGTTTTCTGTTCAATGCTAAAACTATGCTAGGTCGTACACTAAATTTATATGCCATTTTTGAGCTGGTAATCCCTACAGCCATCATTGTTATGACGGATTCAGACAGTCTAAACACACAACATTGTCAAATTACAACAGAGTGGACTCTCTGCCCACTGCTGCCATCTTCACTGTCACCATGGCAGCCACAGTGAGGCTGAGTGAGTGCCCACTGAGGACACTGGTGTCATAATCACCCATGTAGATTTGACTGTTATCCCTGGAGGAAGGCCGACCTGCCTCCTTCCTGCTGTGGCTGTTATGTTTACAGTGTTCCTGAAACTGTGCATTGTTAGCTTTGGCTTAAAGAAATTTAATAATGCCAGAGAACTAAATAAATCAAGTCAGTGTATAAGCGGTTTGCTCACGCTCCAGGTGCAAGACTATACAATGGCTTGCCATGTTCCAACCTATTTTCAAGCTGACCCAGCCTTACCAAGGACAAGTTCTGTGGCTTCTTCCTCCATAGGAATTTTCCATGAAGTAATTAAGCCACGAGAACATTTTTTATGTGATGACTGTGAAGTTCTTCACTTTAGTTCAGAGCCTTGGGAGAGAGACAATCAGAGCCCTCCAGGTCAGAGAAGGAAACACTCTACACTCTCAGGTTCTGCATGGGCCCTTTGTGTGGGCAAAATCAAGCCAAGGGCCTGACTTTGAAAAATCACTGGGGACCCTGGCATGGTGATTCATGCCTGTAATTCCATCAATCAGGAAGCTGAAACAGGATTCCATGAATCTGAGGTCAGGAAGCTGAACAGGATTCCCTTGAATCCAAGGCTAACTTGGCCTCCAGACAAGTCTGCACTGCAGAGTGAGATCTTGTCTTGGGAAAAAAGGGGGGCGGGGTTAGAGAGAAGGCCCAGTACTTGCTTGTATGTATCTGATCTAATACCACATGGTATTAGAGAACCAGTTTGGAGGTTCTTCCCTGGGGAAGACTTCTACTCTCAGAATTCCTTGGTTGCCTATAGTTCTTTGTGTAGGGTTGAGGCCCTATTATATTTCTCTCTTTTGTGTTAGCATGTCTATTGAAATCATATACACACTAGTAATGTAGAGGCTTAGCAGGTTATATTTATGTATTTAGGAATATATATATTCGTAGACATGGAAGAATGAGGAGGAAAATTATTAAATTAAAACTTAATATATATTTAAATAAAAATAACCCACATGGTGCTTGCTACTCTTACAGAGGGCTTCAATTCAGTTCCTAGCACTTATTTCAGTAGGCTTGCAACTGTTTTTAACTCCAGCTGCAGGGGATCTGATGCCCTCTTCTGCTTCTAAGAGTACCTATACACACATCACACACACACACACACACACACACACACACACACCAAAAAAAAAAAAATAGAACAAAATCTTAGAAAAATTCTGGGTGGTGGTGGCACACACTTTTAATCCCAGCACTTGGGAGGCAGAGGCAGACTGATCTCTGAGTTGGAGGCTACTCTGGTTTACAGAGCTAGTTCTGTGACAGCCAAGACTATACAAAGAAACCCTGTCTTGAAAATCGAAAAGGAAAGAAGGAAGGAAGAGAAAACCATGGACAAAGAGGACTTTTGTTGCCTCTTTTTTGTGTGAGCACCTAGTGTAGCTAGAGTTTTCCTGCCTTGCCCACAGTCAGGACAAATCTTTGTCACCTGCCAGTCCCACAGCTGCTCAGACCCAAACAAGTAAACACAGAGACTTATATTGCTTACAAACTGTATGGCTGTGGCAGGCTTCTTGCTAACTGTTCTTATAGCTTAAATTAATTCATTTCTACAAATCTATACCTTGCCACGTGGCTGGTGGCTTGTGGCTTACCAGCATCTTTACATGCTGCTTGTCCTGGCGGTGGCAGGCAGTGGTTCCTTCTACCTTCTTGTTCTTTTATTTCTCCTCTCTGTTAGTCCCGCCTATACTTCCTGCCTAGCCACGGACCAATCAGTGTTTTATTTATTGACCAATCAGAGCAACTTGTCATACAGACCATCCCACAGCACAGCCAAGTGCAGACCATCTCAGACACCTGCACTCAGGCCTGTGGTCCTAATCATCCTCTATGCGGACCTGCTGGGTAAAGCCTCGAGGAACCCGAGAACAGGCTCCCACAGGACATACAGAACATCCCACAGCAAGCTAGTTTTGATCAATGGTTTTTACTAATACAAATATATGAATACAAAACTATATAGCCATTCAAAGCCTCTCAACATGCCTGCCCTCAGGCATTTTTTTTAGCAGAGAAATTTGGGGATTCACATTGAGACAGCACCCTGCGGATGAGTAGAAACTGCCCATAGATCCATCTAACAAGATTAAGAAAGGAAAAGGCTTGGTTTAATATGAGATGGTAATTTGTTCATATGGCCCTTTAATTTTGGGGAAAAAAAAAAGAGAGAGAGAGAGATCACTTTGAAAACTACCTATGAGTGGGCTGGGTCTTACTTTGTTTATGGTGGAGTCAACACGTGACTAAACATAGTGGCCACAAGGTTCCCTAAATATAGCAATGCATTCCTTCAGAATCAGTTGATGACCAGTGTGGCGCTGTTCAGTATAAATCAGAGCCTGTGACCTGTGTTTTCATAGGAGTGAATGACATGATAAGAGAAATTCTGGTGGAGGATGGGTCTGATAGAGCCAGCCAGGGGTCTCTTAGGATTGTCCTCTGAAGGAGAGTAAACACAGCTGGTAGCATTTCTTTGGTTAAGAACTTAGTACGATTTTAAAAGGCTCAATGGTTGGTTTGCTTTTCTTAGGTGAGTCATAAAACTGGCTTTGAAGGCAGAGGACAAAATGGAATTTTAGAAAATTGTTTGGCTATATTAAAATAAGTTTCTGTTTCATTAGGGGAAAAAAAGATTTCACTTTCTACACAATAATAAATTAGAGTAAACTTAGTTCTCCTAATTTGGTAATCTCTTCTTAGTAAAAGCAGCTTAAAGCTGCAGGTGGCAGTTATTTTTCTGATAGGATGTGAGCACAGTGACTTTGCAAACGAAAGAATGAGTCATTTCCTAGCAAGTTACCACGTGTACAGTGGAGTGGAAGCTTTCAATGCGATAGTAATTGAGTCATTCTCTTCTCATTTTTTTAAACTGCTTCCTTCATCATACAGATCTAGACTATGCAAAATATTTAAATTATTATTGCCAAGCACCTTTAAATGTGTTAAGACTTGTAGAGTATTGTCCTTGTTTTCTAAGTAGCAAAATTCTTTGTAAAAAACAAACAAATTTTAAAGTAGCAACTCAGTATTTAGGGCTGGACTAGCACATAGGAAGCCCTGAATTCAGTCTCGAACTCCAAATAAAACTGGGTGTGCCAGTGCAGTGCACACTTGTAACCCCAGTGCTTGGGAGCTGGAGGCAGAACCGTCAGAAGTTCGAGGCCAGCCCCAGCTGCACAATAAATTCAAGGCCAAAATCAAACATTTAAATTAAAAGAATAAGAGGAAAGGGAACGTTTCTGTTCACTGTGTGGCATAATTAAATAGTAAAATAGCCTGTAGTTGCTGAGTGGGAAGCAGTTCTGTAATTGTGGATGCTGCAGGAATACTGTGGACAGTGATACTACAAAAGGTTAACCTGAATCCAGCTCTGAGACAATCTCAGGACACTTTTTGACCTCCAGCTATTTCAGAAGAAGCATTGCCAAATTCATCTTATGAGGTCACAATTACCCTGATACTCAAACCACACAAAGACACAACAAAAAAAGAGAATTGCAGACCAATTTCCCTATGAACATAGATGCAAAATTTCTTGCAAACCAAATCCAAGAGTGTATCAAAAAGATCATCCACCATGATCAGGTAGGCCTCATCCCATAGATGCAGGGATGGACCAACATATGAAAATCAGTCAATGTAATCCACCATATAAATAAACTGAAATTTAAAAAAAACTCACACTGATCATCTCATTAGATGCTGAAAAAGCCTTTGATAAATTCAACATCCCTTCATGATAAAACTCTTGGAGAGATCAGGGATACAAGGGGCATACCTAAACATAATAAAGGCAATATACAGCAAGCCTACAGCCAACATCAAATTAAATGGAGAAGCTGGGCGGTGGTGGTACACGCCTTTAATCCCAGTACTCGGGAGGCAGAGCCAGGTGGATTATCTGTGAGTTCAAGGCCAGCCTGGGCTACAGAGTGAGTTCTAGGAAAGGTACAAAGCTACACAGAAACCCTGTCTCCAAAAACCACAAAGAAAAAAAAAATTAAATGGAGAGACTCTAAAACAATTCCACTAAAATTGGGAACAAGACAAGGCTGTCCACTCAGGATGATTTTTGACCTCCAGCTTGTCCTCTTCCTCAGTGTGCAAGCTGTGACCATCTTCTCTCCTTGTGCCTCTTGTTTTACCCTACCATTGAATGCCAGGCCTTATTGCAATGGGCCTTTGTGTGGGAGCTTGGCCCGTCCTCATGCTACATTGTGTCAAAGTCCAGTGAGTGTGACTCTGTGTCCTGGTCTTTTGAGAGTACTCCTGAGTTATGGCTATCACTCTGGCTGCACCTTTCACTGTTTGCTTTCCGGCTCTTCAGAGCTTGTGAATTTGGATGAAGACACTGGCATTCTAGGTTGAATGCATTTCATCATAGTGGTGACTAGGATCTGACACACGGACCCCTCATGCCCCCTGGCCACTGGTCTACTTGTTCTTTTCCTTCCCTTCCAGGTTTTGTAGAAATGGATTTAGGAAGAGTTCTCCTTTGTTTTTTAATCATGGTTCACTACTCTTAGCCAACACTTGCATTGCTGTGTCTTCTAAGAGTCACTTTGGAAACTGCATTCACTGCCGCTTGTGTTTCTGGTTTGTATAAGTTGCGGGTCTATTAATGTAAAGTCCAGCATCTTTTAAAATAGATGTTTATTTTTTCTCATCCAGGGTTACCAAGGCATGGTGGATGGAGGCTCCAATATTGTGGAAGCCACGTGGGAGAGTGTCTCCAGCATTCTACAAGTGGTAGGTGCCACGTTGCTCTTCGTTTCTCTATATTCAAGTCACTGTTTTAGTTTGAAACATTTTATGCTCAAGCTTCAGAAAGTTCTAAAGTGAGTTCCCTTCCCAGCTAGCTAATTATAAACTATAACTAGTTTATTGTTTTAAACTAATTATGAGGACAGAAAACACCCATTGCTTCCTGTTTTTCTTGTCTCTGACAAATATCTGACTGACTGAAACTGAGGGAGGATTGATTTGGTTCGTGATTCAGTGGATATAGTCCTTCATGTCAAGAGAGCAAGGTGGCTGAGAAGCCCAGCAGTTCAGTCTGTGGTGGCAGGAAGCTTGTGGCTGAGCTTGTAACAGAGGGAGATTCTTCATGGCTTCTCACACCTTAGCAGATCAAAAACAGAGAGCTGGGGCCAGAAGCTGAGGTGCTTATCACCTTCAAAGATCACCCCAGCAACCCACTTGGACTTCAGCCCAGTCTCAAAGCAGCCACAATTCTTCCCAAACGTCATTACTTGAGGACCAACAGTTCAACCACAGCTGCCTGTGGGGTATACGTCACATTCAATCTACAATATGGGTCACTTAATTATTTTTTACTTGTGTGTGTGTGTGTGTGTGTGTGTGTGTGTGCCTATGTGAGTATATGTGCATATGTGTGCACCTGTGCACAGAAAAGCCAGAAAATGATGTTGGACCTCATGGAGTTGGAGTTTCACCCATTTGTGGAATACCTGGCTTGTTACATGGGGGCTGGAATCTGAACTCTGGTCCTCATGATTACACATCAAGTAGTCTTAAGCACTGAGTCATCTTCCAGGCCCTTTTATTAAGTCTTAAAAATATCAACATGACCTTAACTCAGGAAGTATCTTTCCAATACAACTTGTATGTCTCAGCCTCTGCTACTGTTCATTGTGTTACTTCTGGCAATTTTTTTTTTAAGAGCAGAGGAATGTAGAGGTTACTTCAGTTTGCCATGTGCTCATTGGCGAATCTCTGTGCCCACTGGGTTTTTACTTATCCCTTGGCACGGAGTAAAACAAAGCAGGGGAAAGATTCTGCCTGGCAGCCCCTAGGGCTGTGGATTTAACAGGGACACTTCATCCCTGCTCTAGCTTGAAGCAGACACAGCTAATTTCTGTGTTGTGCACAAGGAAGAAGTAATTGCTACTTCAGGCAAAACAGTTGCCTGCTTTGAATTTAAAAGAAATCTGTCCAGAGAACTTACGCCTCATACATTCCTGGAACATTTTGGCTTAAGAAAGGTCCAAATTAGTTGAGAAAGGAGATGATGTACAAAGAAAAGACTATAAAAAGCTCTTTATTTGTGGCTTGAGCTTCTAAAACCTAAGAATTAATCTCTGACTCATCTTGAGTCTTTTTTTTTTTTTTTTTTTTTTTTTTTGAGACAAGGTTTCTCTGTGTAGTCTTGGCTGTCCTAGAACTTGCTTTGTAGACCAGGCTGTACTGGAACTGAAAAATCCTCCTGTCTCTGCCTCCTGCGTGCTGGGATAAAAGGCATGTGCTACCACCTCCCGGCTCTAACTCTCACTCTTGAATATAGCCCTGACCCTCCAGGGGCACAGCCACTCCGGGACTATAACTTTAAGTGAAATGGTGGAAACCGCACACCTTTCATATTCCTTTGGTTTATTGATCTGACTCGTAAGAGAGCCAGGTCACCATCAGGAGACAAGACAGTTTGTTCTTCAGGTAATGACTGATGTCCAGAGGGTTGCTGACATCTTTTTCCCTCTGTGTGTACCTGGTCCAGTTCATACCATGTAGGGACAGCTTTGACCCAAACAAGCTGGGAGGCTGTGGTGACCCTGTAGACACTTGCTCTGTCCATTCAGCTGAAGGCTGACGTCCATTTGTCTATCAAGGACATCAGGCTAGTGTGTTTCTTCATGGATTTCCAGAGAGGAACTGAAGTGAGGAACTCAGACTTTGACAGTAGACTGATCGAAGAGATGAAAATGAGGAAAACATGTGGAATGTTCTACACATATAGTCACTCAATCCGTGCCTGTGCTGATCCATCTGACTTCCTAGCAGTGAGCATGGTTTATGTCCTCTCCAGGGTGGGACAATCATCGGCAGTGCCCGTTGCCAAGTCTTTCGAAACCGGGAAGGGCGTCTGAAAGCTGCCTGTAACTTGGTGCGTCTGGGCATCACTAACCTGTGCGTGATTGGTGGGGACGGAAGTCTCACGGGAGCAAACATCTTCCGGAAGGAGTGGAATGGACTTTTGGAAGAGCTGGCTAAGAATGGTACGTTTCTGTTTCTGTTTCCATTTCCGTTTCCACTCCTATTACTGCCTTTCTCTGAGTTGCCTGCTTCACGTTTGTTTCCCTGTCTGCTTTTCAGGAGCTTGCAAAGTCATACCTTGTGCCTTCTTTGAGGGGATGAAAAAGGAGCTATTTTATTTATAATTGGCATGAGCATACATACTTTTGAGCGAACTTTTAAATTTTCACTTAATTTTAGTTTTTGAAATCTTGAAATCTCAGGGACAGATGCACATGGTACCTGCCTCCTAAGTGCTGGGAGTAAAGGTGTGCATCACCACACCCAATCCCATTTCATTTTCAGCTGGAGCAAAACTGTCTGTGGTTTTATTTTAGGATTTGGTACACAGGATTTAAATCTGTACTTCAAATAGAAGCAGTAATAACAATAACCCCACTGTGTGCTAGGCCTATGGACTCTTTATAACAGTAATCATATACACCCCCATTTTCTATGCCAAGCTACTGTGACCATGGTCTGGGTACATACAGGGCCCTTGGATGCCAATGTCCACACTTCCAGCCATCATACTGTATTCCTCCTGCTATGCTGGGATGTTTCCAAACTTATGTTGTTACAAGAGTTTTATTAGAAGATGTTGATCGGCTATTACTCATTTTTTATTTGAATTTTGAATTGCTTTGGCTGCTACTTAGGAATGGATGTCTGAGAACTCTATATGAATTGCTGTCTCTGTCTCTTTAAAGCTGGTATTATATAATTCCAATTCTATATCAAGTATAACTAACAAGAGTATGTTGCTCAAACACACGTGATACAACTTGATGAAAAGTGGAAGCTTGTGATAAATCATATGTCCTCAAAACCCCAAAAAAACTTTAAAAATATGTCGCTGTGAGTCCGAGGCCAGCCTGGTCTACAGAGCTAGTTCTAGAAGAGCCAAAGCTATACAGAGAAACCCTGTCTCAAAAACAAACAAACTCTACTCAGGAACTCTATCTTTACATTCACCAGCCCATTGGTGACCACGGGTAAAAGCCTAGGAACACCCCCTCACCTCACCCCTACACTATTCTAAGTTCATCTGTGTAGAACTACCTGACAGATGTGTTTATCTTGGTGAGCTAGCTGTACACCTACTAACTAGTTCCATGGGCATCTTTAAGAAACCTATATCAAGGTGACCATAAGTTTCTAAAGTACTTAACTATGACATTATGATATGTCCTTATTGAAAGTCATTATTGTCCAAAGCCATTGCTAAGAAAAATTGAAGTTTTTATCTTAAATTGAAAGCTTTGGATTTTTTTTATTTTTTTATAATTCAGGGTTCTTGTTTAATGTCCAGTGCCAGTTTATACTTGGTGCAGTTCCTTCTGTCTTCACCTGGTATGTTGATTCAGGCTGTGTATAGTTTGGAGGAAATTCATAAAAACCGGAGCTTAGGGGATGCCATGGCCAAGGTCTTTCACATCTGGTGGGGCACAGGGAGACGTGGCAGCTCTCCCTGGATATGAAGTGTGTTTCTTGTCTCCAATGCAGGTGAGATCGATAAAGATGCAGTGCAGAAGTACTCCTACCTCAACGTTGTGGGCATGGTGGGCTCCATTGACAATGACTTCTGTGGCACAGACATGACCATCGGTACAGATTCAGCTCTGCACCGAATTATTGAAGTTGTTGACGCCATCATGACCACTGCCCAGAGGTAAAAGGACTTACAGACACTAGTTGGTTACCATGTTAGGTTTATTCTAAATGTGCTTATGGAAGAGAAACTAGAAAACAGAAAGAAACAATAATTATCTAAAGCCCTCCACTCCCAAGGGTCTTCTCATGGAATAATAAAAGAGAGAGAGAGAGAGAGAGAGAGAGAGAGATATTTAGTGAGTTTGGCACACTTTTTAGTGTAGTGAGCCATTATAGTGTCGATTTTAGGATCCTAAGGTCCAGATGAACTGTGAGTAGATCATTAGCCGTTCATCTGCAGTGATGTAGACCCACAAGGAGGCATCACCAACAACTTTCTAGAGCATCTCGGAGTTCATGGAAGCATTTTCATGAAAATCATGTGACGTTGTAAGTCAGACAAGCGCCTTCTATTTTGTGAGCAGGTTGCTTGAGCCTTGGGAGATTGGAACAAGCATTATTGAGGGAGGCTGGGACCTCGTGGATTCCTTTATGTATCTGTCTGATTCTCAGCTGCCCTCTGTCCTCTGAACTCTCTGACACTGGAAAACCACATCCTCTCTTCAGGACAGGAAGGATGGCTCAGAACAATTGGGTTTTTCCATTGAAGGAAAGATAGTCATTATGTGTTGATGGAGCTGGTTTGTAACATTCATGTTCATGTGATTACATGGATATAGCCAGCCTATGGCTTTACCAGATTGGATTTAAACTCCCAACTTCATGGCCTCTCCAGTTCCGAGATTACAGATATGAACCTGGCCAACTCATGGCTTTAACAAGTATCCAACTTAGTTCATGGTGATACTTTTTAGAAAAGGGCACAGGAGAGCACCTTAAAAGTGTAGAGAAGTCTTAGGGAACAAGTGATGGATATAAAGTATGTGACTCGAAGCAGTCCTGAGGATGTGATGTGGTTCATGTAGTGCTTGCCTAGCATGCAGGAAGCCCTAGGTTTGATTTCCAGTACCACACAAGCTGGAGGTCGTGATATATGCCTATAGTCCTAGCATCTTGGATGTGGAGACAGAAGGATCAGAAGCTTAAGGTTACCCACCCTTGGCTTTACAGAGAGTTCAAGGTCACTGTGAAGAGCATGTTTCAAAAAACAAAGTCCTCCCCAAAATGCAGTTATAGCAGCCTCATTACTCTTTGCAGTAGAACTTGTTTTTTTTTTTTCCCCCAGACCTGAGGACTGAACCCAGGGCCTTGCACTTGCTAGGCAAGCGCTCTTCCACTGAGCTAAATCCCCAACCCCGAGCTTACTTTTTGTAGAAAATGACTCAGCTTTTGGAAGCTTGGTGCCAGCCATAGTTGAGAAGCAGGTTCTCTCTCTCTTTCTCTCTCTCTCTCTGCTGTATACTTTTCTTGCTTTGAGTGGTAACACGTACCCTTTACCTCTTTTCCAGCCACCAGAGGACCTTCGTCCTGGAGGTGATGGGGAGACACTGTGGGTAGGTATCTGCAGACACCATCCTGGTAGGTACAAACCCTGGCGGCATCTGTGTGAGTGCTCCTCACCATGCATTGAAACAGAGGGCAGTCACAGCGGGGAAAACTCCTGCAGGATACCAAGGGCTAGAGCGGCCCAAGGTTGTCTCCAAGTGTGGGTGGCACACTAGCTTTGCAAGCAGGCTCTTTCCTCCCAGTGTATTAATTATTCTTTTCCCCACATAGTTACTTGGCCTTGGTGAGCGCCTTGGCTTGTGGTGCGGACTGGGTGTTCCTTCCGGAGTCTCCACCCGAGGAAGGTTGGGAGGAAAACATGTGCTTGAAACTCTCAGAGGTAATTGGGAGTCTGGATGGGTTGCTTCGAGTAAGGATCCACAAGGCCTTGTGGGGTGGCCAATTTGGATGACTTCTTTAAACACTTGACAACTTGCTGCTCGTAAAACGAGGTCAAGCCCGTTGCCAAGGCTCTGCCTGCGTAGGCTGTGGCCTGTGCAGTTCTCTTTCCGACGTTGCCATGGAGAAACAGCTGGAACCGTTGATTGTCTCTCATCCAAAGCAGTAGTTGTGTTTCTAGGTGGCTCTCGCACCATGAGATGAAATCATGGTGGTAAAATGAAGTCAGAGTTACAGAGAAAACTCCTGTTTGCTGTTCAAGATTTCCTCATCGTTGACCTCAGACATGTGTTAGACTCTTTAGTTTTAAATCCTGCCCTCCTCATGTCCCCCCCCCCCCAATATGGGGTGAAGTGTCCTGGCTTTTCTTTCCTCGGTGTGTGAGGATTTTTAGATTTTTAGGTTCTTCTAGTTCGTAACTATTTTGATCCATGTTCCTCTCTCCCCCTGTCAAGAGTTTGTTGTACATTGTCCTTCGAAGTACAGTTGCTTATTAGGGGAGGGCGGATATCCCTGTATGAAGGTCCAATATAAACGGTGTGGGAGGCCTCTTTATTGTCATACATAGCTTTCAGGGCAGAGATATTAACAAGTACGTAACTTTTCTGTCCCTTACTTTTGAAGCAATGTTATCACTGTTGTACAAGAAAATTATGTAAGCATTATATCACAGACCAGTTTTATTTATAGTCAGCAAGCACATAAGTACTGCTTGGAAAATGCCGTGCATGTGTGGGCAATAAAATGTTGCTTTCGAGTATCGATCTCAAGGGAGGATAATAATTCAAGTCATGAACCAAATAGGTTTTGCTGAAATAAAAACTTATGTGGAAAGCTACTGATTAAAGTTATACCATGGTAGGAAAAAACAAGCATCCATAACTTGAAATAAGCCACCTATAGTGGATGGCCAAGTGCAGCCATTGCCACTGGGAAGGAATGTTCCTTTGCTTTGGTCTTGCCTGTCTGGGGGACATTAGCAGTATCCTTAGATGCCTAATTAAGACAGGTTATCCATACCTGTCCCTATGAGATGAGAGGTATGCCCACTTATCAGCACTTTTGTGTGACCCAAAGACGGGATTGCCACCTCACAAGACATCACCTCAGTGGTCTCTACCTCCTTAGAAGGCATATCTGGTCTCCTCATGTCTTCTTCCTGACTTGCCTGAAGCCTGATTGCACAGTGAATTGTCACAGGCCACAGATCCATGGGCAATGATTCCGATATAGGGAAGGCTGTTGGGGCCTGGCTGATAGGAAGTATGCCGTCAGTCTATGTGGTCGGAGTGGACATTCAGTTTCTAGATATTCACTTTAGATTTAAAGAAAATTTCTTTATGGAATCCTGTCTAAAAACCTGCTTGGATTCTAGACTGCATACACTGTGCTTTCAAATATGATAAGACCAGGATACATCACCTTTCATCCCCCAAGTTTTGGTTGAGTTAGAGTGGAAACATTTGATATCTTTGTATCTGTCATTTGTTTCTATGGGTCACCAATATAATACTTCAAGAAGTTTACCCAATATTTTAGAAGATTACCTAGCCTGAGAAATAGTCTCCACAACTTGTATTTAAGTGTAAAATGTAAAAGAGGTTTTCAGGGTTCAGAATCCCTTGGCCTGGCTATTGGCTGTACCGCTATTAGGATGGTTTTGATCAAATAAACTCACCTTTCTATGTCCAAAGGTGCTCCTCTCTTATGTGGAAAATTACATTCCTTAATTAATTCCTAGTGATTTTGTGAAAGTGGATCAATAAATTCAGTCTAGATACCAAACATGGAGGCACTCATTAAGTTGTAGTGGCATGATGCCTATTTTCTTACTTGAATATACTGAGGATTCCATTGTTTGTATGTGCATTCCCCACACATATATGTTCATGTGTGTGCAGGTACACATGTGTATGAAGATACTGTAGTTTGTTTCTCTGTTGTTGTGATAAAACACTGGACCAAAATGAACTTGGAGAAAGAAGGGTTTACTTTAGTTTACAGTCCATCATCTAGACAAGTTAGGGCAGAAGCTCAAGGCAGGAACCTGGAGGCAGGAACGGAAGCAGAGACTGCAGAGGTCTCTGGCTTACTGGCTTGCTTCCTCTGGATCATATTCAGCTATGTTTCTTATGTAGGCCAGCCCCACCTGCTCAAGGATGTAAGGGATGTCACGGCCCACAGCAGGCATAGACCTCCTACCTCAAATAGCAATCAAGAAAATGCCTTTTGGATCTTGTTCTTCAGACACTGTCTTCCTGTTTTCTCTTTTGGAGACAATCTCTAATTGGTGAATCCCAGGGATCTACCTTCTGTCTCCACTTCCCCAGCTCTAGAGTTACAAGTTTGTCCAATTATTTCTCCAGCGTTTTTTTTTTTTTTTTTTTTTAACATGCAAACATGCTCTGGGAATCAAATTTATGTCCTTGTGCTTTTAAGGGAAGTATTTTACCAAAAGAGCTATTTGTACAGGCCACAGATTTCATTGTCTTTTAGCCACTTCAGAATATTGTGTTTTGTAGCTGAAGCACACCAATTTAGCTATCCCATATTTATGGGAATTGTCCTTCCAATACTCTTTCAGGCAATGTTAAGGTAATTACCCTGTACTCCTGCCTTTATACTTTAAAGAAGGTGTTTCTTATCAGCACATTGTTCAAAGCATGCCACATTTCATAGCAGTCATGACCGAGAACAAAATCTTTGATGCCACATCCCTCTGATCCACATAGGTTTATTAATTGATTCCCTACCTTCAGGCATGGCCGGGGCCCCACACATTATCACTGACCTTTTATAAGGAAGCATATTTTGTTTGGCACTTTATAGAAAGCAACTACATTGAGAATGAGCTAACCCACACCATGATATAGTTTTCGTGCACACTTAGGTTTATTTTAGCCTTACGTGACCTTGTGAGCTAATTAAGACAAGTTCCCAGAGTGTGAGTACATAAAACAGCATACCAGAGTGTAAGTACATAAGACAGGGTCCCAGAATGTGAATATATAAGACAGGATCCCAGAGTGTGAATATATACGAGAGTGTACCAGAGTGTGAGTACATAAGACAGAGTCCTAGAGTGTGAAGATATAAGAGAGTATACCAGAGTATAAGTACATAAGACAGGGTCCCAGAGTGTGAGTACATAAGACAGGATACCAGAGTGTGCATATATGAGACAGGGTCCCAGACTGTGAATATATAAGACAGGGTCCCAGAGTATATGAAATGGCAAATAAGGGTAACTGTTTGTCTCAGTATCTGTTAGATTTCTGTTACTGTGGTAAACATCTGAGCTAAATCAACTGTAAAGGGAAACATTTATTTTGGCTCATGGTCTTGGAGGCATTGGCCCGTGTTTGGTTGATGCCACATCAACTATGTGATCATATCATGAATCATGACAGGGTTGCAGTACAGAAGAGGTCTGTTTACATCATAGTGGCCAAAAGAAAAGAAAGAGGAAAAGGAGTAATATTGTCTTAGTTAGGGTTCTGTTCCTGTGAAGAGATACCATGACCAAGGCAACTCTTATAAAGGAAAACACTTAATTAGGGTGGCTTACAGTTCAGAGGTTCAGTCCATTATCATCATGGTAGGACATGCATCATGGAGGCAGACATGGTGCTGGAGAAGGAGCTGAGAGTCCTACATCTAGATCTGCAGGCAAAGGAAGTGAACTGAACTAAATGAATCTTGAACATAGACCTCAATCCCTGCCCCAACAGTGACATACTTCTTCCAACAAGGCTACACTGACTTCAACAAGGCCACACCTCCTAATAGTACTCCTCCTTACAAGCTTATGGGGCCTAATTACATTCAAACTACCACAAGTGGGGATGGGGTCATAATCCACCCCCACATACACACATACAAACACATCTCTACCAATTACCTAGCCTTCTTACCCTAGGCTCTATCTCTTATATTCTCATCTAATAGTTCCATGGGCTAGGGACAAGCACTCAATGCATGGGCCTTGTGATATTCCAGTATCCTTTTCTGATTTCTTATCTGTGACCCACCTGTCAGCTCCCCATGTCTGTGTGCAGTATTATCTAACATGATGGAGGAGAATTGTTGTCTTCACAAGAGTAAGTTTAGGACAGTCCACCGGGAGATGGGGAAAGGCTCAAGCATAGAGGGGATGGGAAACATGATTTGGGACAGGGAAAACTGAGGGATCCCAGCCTGTGTTTGCTTACTGTTGTGGGGATCACGATCAATCAACATGTCCATACCTCCCACCTTAACCCAGGGCTAATTGGGGTCAAGTTCTCATGTGTATTTGTAATGTCACCTAGACTACTAACTCCCTCAGCCCTCACAAAGGCACCTTTCACCTACTCTGGGGGTTACTGAGAAATCCTCAAGTTAGGCAATGGTTTCTACCTGGAAAAAAGCCATTTCCATTTGGGACACATTTCTCTGGGTTTGCTACCATGAAAAACAGATTATAAATTTTAGAAGTTCGAATTTTCTGTTTCCTTAGAACCGTGCTCGGAAAAAGAGGCTGAATATTATCATTGTGGCTGAAGGAGCAATCGATACCCAAAATAAACCAATCACCTCTGAGAAAATCAGGGAGGTAAGCTTGTGTGATGCCTCACCTTTGCGCTGCTGCCAGGCTGGACATAAGCATGTCAGCATGATTGACAGGACTTAGATTTAGAATATTAACTCAACTTTCGTAGCATGGGGAGCATGAAGCTTAAGAGCTCTGGCCAGCCAGCATTTCTTATCTCATGACTCCGTAGTCCTAATGGCTCCATAAATAACTTCTCTAACAATAGAGGAGAGACAGTTGAGTGGATAAGCATGTTGTTGGGTGACTAAGGACCAGCTGCTAAGCAGATGTTGCACTGAAGGTGAGGAGCCTTGACTACTTGGCAGCCGGTACAGTCCAGGGGCTTCTCTATTTGGAACAATAGACAACAAGGTGTCTGATTTCCTCACCAATCAAACTGCCTAGTTGGCTATGAGTCACTGATTCCTCATGGCCCTGAGGAAGGGCAGGGTCTGGCTGGCTGCTGCTTCTTCACACTGGTGCTCACTCATCTCTACAAGACTTTGACTCTTTCACTAGCATCTCAGAGTCAACGAGGAACCACAAGCTAGGCTGTTGTTCCAGCCCTGAGTCAGGGCCCACAGGCATTACTAATCTGGTTTTACAAGTTTTTTTTTTTCTTCTTTTTCTTTTCTTTTTTAAAAATTCTTGCCAAGTAGCCATGCTAGACTCAAACTGACCATCCTCCTGCATCCTCTTCCCAAATGTTAGAATTACAGGTGTGACCACCATATTATGCCTCACTTACTGCCTTTTGTGTCTTTTGTGAGGACTGGAACCCAGGAGCTCATGTGCCTGGCAAGTGCTTTACCATTGAACCACACCCCTAACCCTGCAAGCAGTTTTTATCATTCTTAAGTTATGATTATTCAGTGAGCCGAGCTCATTTCTCGTTGACTCCAGTAGCAGATCTGCACCTCAGCACTAAATCATCAGCAGGTGCCAGGGAAAGATCTTCAATAGTATTTACTGATGGCTCTCTGTCAAAGCAGGGCAGGGGGTTCGTTCCCACTGAAATGAAATTAAGATGAACTTCAGCAATACTGGACCAAGAAGTGTGAATAGATGGGTGTCGGTGGCTCTTTTTTGTGCACAGGGGTCACAGGCCAGTACTGCTGTTAGCATGGGGCTGAAATGCCTGGGTTACTCTCTTCACAGAAGAGCTTACACTATCCAGGGAAATGCTTGTAATATAAATAATGCTTTAAATACAGCTACTTGAAACAGCGTTTTCGTAGAGAAGTCGATGTTACTTATTTTATCTGCTTGCTAGGAGATAAAGATTTTAATTTTAGTAGTCTGACTGTGGCGAGTCTTGTCCGTAACCCTCAAACTCAGGATGCTGAGGCAGGAGGATTGTTAAGTTCAAGGCCAACCTGGCCTATGTACAGTTTCCAGTAACCGAAACCAAATCAAAACAAACAAACAAATGTCAGCAACATCAAAAAGATTTTCTTTACAGTGAAAGCATTATTTGGAAAAACAAATTTTAGAATTGTGTATAGCGGTTCCTGCAAGGAGAAGTGAAATAATAATCAGTTTTAACATTCATGTCTGAAGACCAAGTCAAGCACCCTTGTCTCGGTGCCAGCACCCTGTGCCCTCACTTTGCTTGATACAGTCACAGTGAGGTCTGTTTTGCTCTCTGTTTTCTGATGGCCATCCTTCTCCACAGCTTGTGGTGAAGCAGCTGGGCTTTGACACCCGGGTGACCATTCTTGGACATGTGCAACGAGGAGGGACCCCTTCGGCATTTGACAGGATTTTGGTAAGTGGGGATGGAAAGTACTGGACATTTTCATGAGGCCTCCTTGAAAGAAATTTAGAAGTGCTAGTCTATTATTGTGGAGGCTGACCAGCAGCCTCATCCCTTGAGACGATAGTGGCCCATGTCCTTATTTCAAGGTCCTTTGAGACTTATTGACGTGGGATAATTTCCTGGGCTGAGGTCACAGCTGACGTGGGAAGTCAGTATGCCTACTGAGGGAAGGCATGGGTGCCAGGAGAACAAAACCCAGAATGTAGGAATTCGGTATCCCAAGTGTAAGCTTCCAGAAACTAACCCAAGAGGACAGCAGGCATCCTGAGTCCAAACCCTAAATTCTTAGTATTACCTGGTAGTTCTTACTGGAATTATAATCTTGTTGTTACAGAGATGAATAGAGATAAGCAAGACAGAAGCAGGGTAAAGCCCTGACTGAGTCATTGTTTCACAGCATAGAAAGCAGGCAGAAAGTGAACCCTGGCGTGGTCTCTAACTGTGCACGCACACAGTGCCTCCTGAGCATAGGATGAAGGACTCACTAACTTTAGCGATTGTGATTATCATTTGCAGGCCAGCCGCATGGGGGTGGAGGCTGTCTTAGCCTTGCTGGAGGCTACTCCTGAGACCCCGGCCTGTGTGGTGTCACTGAGGGGAAACCATGCTGTGCGCCTGCCTCTGATGGAGTGTGTGCAAATGGTGAGCTCAGCTACTGGGTGGGCATGGACATGGGATGGGCCACCTACAGGAACAGTGGGTGCTTCAAGCTGGTCTGCTTCAGATTCAGTTGAGCGCTGGGTCAAGTGGCCTTTGGAGGGCAGAATGATCTGCCCAGTGGATGATGGTGGCAGGCTTCCTCCGTCACTGTGTAGTGTGTAAAAGCTTCTCCATCTCTTGCTCCTTTACGGTCGCCACCCATGAGGCACTTCTAGTGGTCATCTCTCCTAAGGATGAGTCCTCTCCACCGAGAACTGGTAAAGAGTTGGTGACTGGTGCCACCTATAGTCACAAATGGTCCACATAGCTCCTGTGTGTGAGCAGCAGGATGAGTGTGGGAAAGTGGTCCTGCCAGGAGTCAGTGCTGTAGGTGTGATGTGCCTAAGTTCCTCCAGTTTTGTTTTCTGTCCTTTTGTTCCTGAGGCCATTCTGATCAGTGATATGACCTTGGGACAGATTCCAGGAAAGGTGAGATAGGGCCACTCTTTCAGGTGTGTCTACTGATACAAGAAGGAAAAATGGATTGTGCTTTTCAAATCAGTTGTTGAGTAGATGCTATTACTTTTCATTTTTCCAAATTTTTTTCATGAAATGTTACAATATTTAGGCTTTTGAATGACCCTGACATATATGCCTTTTATAATACAGAAACACAGACACACAGACACACAGACACAGACACACACACACACACACACAGAGAGAGAGAGAGAGAGAGAGAGAGAGAGAGAAGGAACTTGTTGAAATTAACCCTTAACTTAATTCCCAGAAGCCAATAGGGATGAAGAAAGACAGTATATATACATAAGAGTGGTGATGTGTGTCTGTGTGTGCATGTTTGCATATACAAAGATAGATGTGTGTGTGTGTGTGTGTGTGTGTGTTCCTATGTGTCCTTGGGGATGGAAGGACAAAAGAAGTTTTGGAAACTGTATGAACCATGTGCGTTACGTTGTTACATTTCTTTGGTGTTTATTACTCACCCGGTGTCTGTATTTACTTTGGACATTGAATTACTTGTAACTGTCCTGATATTCAAATAATCACATGGAAGTTTCATTCATAAACAGCCAGAGAGAGCCACTTGTTGAGAGCCGCCAGTTAACTGAGGCAGGCCGGATGCTCAGCCCTGAGCTCTCTGTCCTGAGGCTGCCTTCGGCCCTCTGTCCTTTTCAGCCACCTGGGAACCGTCCTGGAGACCTGCAGTCCTCAGTGGGGCCATGAGCAAGCAGTGTTTTCTTTTTCCTTAACTGAGCTGAACTGAGGATTAATCAGGTCCTCTCCTAAAAGACCTATTCCCATGAACTTTGCCTGTGTGGAACTCAGTCTTTCTGACTCTGTGGCCATGAGCAGCAAGAGTCATTTCCTTTTCTTTGGGGCTCTAACCTCACGGATGGGCACTGCCATGTTATCTGTCAGTTTGGGGACCATTAACAAGCCAATGGGGTTAGACTGTGAAGGTTCAGCCATAGAGCATCAAAGGCCTGATTAATTCTTTATTACCTTTTTTTAAAGACCCAGGATGTACAAAAGGCAATGGATGAGAGGAGATTTAAAGAAGCCGTACAGCTCCGAGGGAGGTGAGTTTTTGTGAATAAAACTCTACTAGAAATTTAGGTCCTTGTTTGGTCATTGAGACTGTTCTTAGTTTCAATATAAAAATTTTGAAAGAGTTTGGGCTGAAGAGATGGGTCAGCAGTTTAGGGAACAACCTAAGATCACTCCAGCTCCAGGAGAATCGGATGCACTCTTCTGATCTCCATGGGCATTCATGTGCACAAACCCATATTAAATTAAAACTAAACTATCATTTTTCTTTAGGAGTTTTGAAGGAAACCTGAAGATCTACAAGCGTCTTGCCATTAAGTTGCCTGATGACAAGATCACCAAGGTAGGTAGTTAGCTTCCAGCAACGACCCCAGTCTTCTGAGTGGCCTAGGAACCTTTTTACCCCATAGCCCTCTTAATGGGGATCCCCGGAAACCTGTCTTCACCTCTCCATTGTGACCCTTAATTGTAACATGGCCACCTCCTGCCAAATGTGGCACAGTATGGCCCCGTATAAGTGTGCAGCAAATGGGAGCTGGCACTCACCTGGTAACTCAACAGTTTCCTGTTCTGTGTTTCAGAGCAATTGCAATGTGGCTGTCATCAATGTAGGGGCGCCCGCAGCTGGGATGAACGCAGCCGTGCGCTCAGCTGTCCGAGTCGGGATTGCAGATGGCCACAGGATGTTTGCAGTCTATGACGGCTTTGATGGCTTCGCCAAAGGCAATGTGAGTCTCCCAGGAGTCCCTGTGGAAGTGAGAATATTATCACACGTGGGGAGCCCAGACTTCCGACAGCACCTGCTACTTCAGGATTCTGTGGTGGTGTGACCATACCAGTAACTGAGCTGAGGGTCAAGTTCTGCTTAGGAATCCTGCCCTAAGTTAGGTCGTAAGCCTTTACATAAGCTCAGGGTGTCATGTGTTTTTAGAATTTCTCAAAACACACCAAGGCATGGCGATATCATGACGCTCACCTCACAGGCTGGATGGCATGGGTAAAGTGCATGGTTTATAGCACATACTAGAATTTGTGATACAAAACCTTCATAAAAACACTTCTAGGCTGGGATGTAGCTGAGTAGTGGAACACTCGCCTAGCACCTGTAAGGCTCTGGGTTCAATCCCCAGCATGGGGAGAACAACAACCATCAGCAAACAAAGGTCTGGAGCAGTCACTGTTTTCCTCTTGTTGCATGTGATTTGCATACATTAATCCTTCTGACCTTACAATATGTCTAAGGTCTTCATATCATTTTATTTATGAGAGAAGCAAGGAAGAGAAATATTGACAAACTTTTGTCTGTTTCTCATGATGTAGGATTTGAAACAGGATGGTGAGGCATGCCTCTACTCTGAACCCAGAGCCACTGTAATTGGTACTGCTGTGTCAGTAGGTTAAAGAGCTGCTGTAATTGGTACTATATCAGTAGGCTGGAGATGCCAAGTTGGGAGATGTCTTTAACTTACCTAAAGACCACCAGAATACATGAAGAGTAAGAGGTTCACCAAAAATCACATGACTGGAAGCTGGCAGACCTGGAGTTCTGGCTGACTGTGTTCTGCTCTGTGACTAACTCATGCCTCACCTAACATGGGTTCCAGTTGGTTGAACTTTATCTGCTTAGCCAAACTGTGTTTGTGTTTCTCTCTTTATTTTCTTCCTTGCCTTCGGTGCTAAATTATTTTAACCTTTACCAATTTAAAAACCATGGTATTCATTTTCTTTCAGTGACAGAGTCTGGTCACATAAGGTGTCCACCTAGGACCCATGCTTAGGGTTAGGGGGTGGATGTCCCCCACCGGCATGGAAGGAAGAGGTTTACTGAGGCTCGGCCTTTTGTTTAACCTTGGAAGGACACGTCATGTCTTGGCTGAGTCTGCAGTGCCGTGGGGAAACAGGCCTTCCCCGTCTCTATGGGAACTCAGCCTGTGAGAGAGTTCAGAACCTTGAGCTGTCTTCAGAGCCTTCCATTCCTGCCCTTTCTTCCTCACTTGAGCTGTTTCACTCTGTGTTGGAAATTTAGGTAAAAGAGATCGGCTGGGGAGATGTCGGCGGTTGGACTGGACAAGGAGGGTCCATTCTTGGGACAAAACGGTAATTTCTAAATTTTAACTCTTGGACAAGTTCTGTTTATTTTATTTTCATCTCATGTGTATGAGTGTTTTGTGTGTGGATGTCTGTGCACCATGTGAGAGGACATGGGCTCACTTGGAACTGGAATTAAGGATGGCTGTGAGCTGCCATGTGGATTCTAGGAACCAAAACCCAGTCCTCTGCAAGAGCAGCAAGTGTTCTTAACTGTTGAGCCATCCAGTAATTCTTAACAAAGAAGGAAGAAGCACCTCCCAGAGAGAATGGCTAGAGGTAGCGTCGAGAGTGTAGATGCCTCTTGTATTTTCCCTGTAATGAATACCCTGTAATCAATTTCCCTGTAATGAAGCAGAGACATCTGTCTGCCATTGCCCCAGGAACTCAATCATGTTTTAGGGATCTCGGTGCTAGGAAAGGGAGGGCAGATTAGGATGGATATGTACCACATAGCGTGGTGCTACTTACCATCCATGAGGCCTTAGGTTCAATCCCCAGTACTCTAAAATGAGAAGTCAAGTACCTGGCAGACCTTCCCATTAATTCCATACTTCCATTTATTTGAAGAGCAAAACAATATGTGAAAAGCTTCTGTCCCTCTCTGGTCAAGAGAATAAGTGATGATTTGCAAAGCTGGCATTAACTGTGCTATTATGTGAACAAGCATTTATTTCAGCATTGTGGGAGAAGTGTGGCGTGTCTGTGTATAACAGAGCTGAGCCACACAGTGACTGCGGGCCAAGATGCACAGCTGAAGAAATTACCAGAGTATTGCTAAATTAAAATCATGTTTTTCTGACTTGCAAAGTCCTTCAGTTATCTATATAGCTGGGACTAAGGCATTTTGGCAAAGTGTATTATGTTGGTTCCAACCCTGTTTTATCTTTGATTAGTTCCAGGATGCAAGTATTAATATCAGCCATTATTGTAACTTACTTTTTTTTGTATGGAAGGAGAGTATTTTTTTTTTGGTATTGGGCTCTATGTCGTTGTGGCTTATTATAATCTGAGAAGAATCAAGCCAACTTTTTTTTTTTTTTGCTCTCTTCAAAATCAGGGCTTTTGGTGCCAGCTAGACAAGTGGGGATCCCACAGGGTGGCTTCCCCAGCCATCTGGGTCCTTTCCTTGGTGCCATGGCATTGGTGCTTTGGATGGCAAAGCCCCAATAGACTGGTGGTTACACAAATCAACTCCCTAGGCCTCTGAGGAGAGGCTGATCCCTGCAAACCCAGGTGTGCTTCATGTAAAGCAACCTGGGCATCGCTCTTGAGCAGTGTGGGAGCGAGCTGACAGCCTGAGACACTTGCTGCAGATGCCGGGTTTGCCCAGTGGGCACACTCACTTGTTTGGTACCGTTTTCCATATTCCATTTCCAATATCTCTGTCCATATTCCAATAGTTTCACCTTAAGCTTACATGTGTCTACCAACAGTAGAAATACTTCATTTTATCCTCTAAGCGTGAAGGAAAGATTAAGGGTGGTTGTTAGATGAAATATTAGAATGGGGCATAAATCAGTTTCCTTTGCTTAGTAGTGTTCCTACTGACTGTGTCATTTGAAGTAGGTGACAGTATAGAAGAGGATGTATGTAGTTTTGGAGGAAATTAAGTTGATATATATGGATATATTTCATATATATATAAAGGAAATGTATATATATGTTAACATTATATATAAATATACACACGTATAAACATGTGTATATTATTTTATTATTGTATTATTTACATACACATAAATATACTAAGATGTATTAAACTACAGACATACACATATCTGTACACATTTATGCACATGTACACAATTTAGAAAATGGGAATTTCTACGTAAGCAATTACTTACTATTAATAATTGTAAGCTAATGTATATTTTCTTTTTCCTCATGAGTTGGTGTAATTCCTTTTGGCTTTTTTGAGCCAGGGTCTTATGTAGCTTAGTCTGTTCTGGAATTCACTATGTCACATGCAGCCCAGGCTGGTCTTGAGCTCGGCAATCCTCCTGCCTCCACCCTGAGTGTTGAGATTACAAGTGTGTACTGCCACAACTTGCTGAGGCAGCACAGGTCTTCTGGGGTAGTATTGTTTCTACCTGTCTGTCTGCCTATTTATTTTTGGTGATACGGCTTGAACTTAGCGCTTTATGCATGTTACACATACTAGGAAAATACTGCTGAGCTAAGTCCCTTCCGCATTTCGAAAAAAAAGCTCTTCTGGGACCTAATACCATGCTGCTCCTGCCTTGAGTGATCATTCTCCAGTACTCCTGTCCCACGTGCCCGTCATCTGGAGGGGGGGGGGGCATCAGAAAGTAGCCCCACTGCCCACTCTATCTTTCATGCCGCAGAGTTCAGACGTAGGTGGGAGGTGGGAGAAGAGACCCCGATGAGTGGGTAGATGATTTCCAAGAAGTCTCTCAGCTTGTGGGTGTATTCTCACCCCTTGGTCTGTCTGTCTTCAGCACCCTACCTGGGAAGAACTTGGAGAAGATTGCCGAACAGATACGTTCCCACAGTATCAACGCGCTTCTGATCATTGGAGGATTTGAGGTATGTTACTGTCTCTCTGTCTCCTCGCCTGTGGGTTTTGGAGGTGCGAATGGTAGCCCCATGCTTGCTTCACATATACCTGGTCTTATTGGCTGTTCCTCAGGAACTAGGATTTTAATACCCAACCCAGTTGCCCTGGAATGCAGAATAGCAGGGTAGTGTGATGTAGCACAAGACTGGCCCAATTCGGTTAAAGTAAATTAACCAGGCCAGCACAAGTTTGACCATTCTGCTGGGACTCATTTTGAAGTTTTCTGATTTGTTATCAATCAATAAAAATTCCATACTTGGTGTTTGAAATACACTGATGATTTAGAAAGGAAGGTGGTTATATGGCTAGTTTTTCTCTCTAGATTTCTAAGAAATATATTGGACTGTAGTCCTTAATTACATCCCGTTCAGTGGGGATGAGTCTCACAGAAAGTTGACTTACTTAAAGAAATGTAAGAACTTCACATAATCAAACTCAAATTTGTAAGAGTTAGTCTTACTACTACATGCTAAGACCTCATCTCCCATTTGTGCCTGGGAAGCTGTCCTTGTCTGTGCTCTTAACTCGCCTGTGTTGATTTTCTAGTGGTGCCCGGTCTCACTGTACCCTGTGCACTGTAGTGACAGTGGCTCCCTGGGACTCTCCCATGCTTGCTCACTCCTGGTCACACACTGCCCATGCCCCCCTCTCCCTCCCTGGCCCCACAATCACACACACTTATCTGACAGGCCTACCTGGGACTCCTAGAGTTGGCAGCTGCCCGGGAGAAACACGAGGCGTTCTGTATCCCTATGGTTATGGTTCCTGCTACTGTCTCCAACAACGTGCCGGGTTCCGATTTCAGCATCGGGGCAGACACAGCTCTGAACACTATCACAGACGTAAGTGCGAGTGTGCCAGCAAAGCAGGTGCAGCTGATGCTAACCCGAGGCCCGGACCCTTTTATCTACCATGCACTAGAAGTAGCCTTTTGCCAGCCACCAATTGGATTCCTACGTATTTTTGTTTGTTTCAGGAAAGCACATTTTAGAAGTTCCTTGGAAATTCCTTGATCTAATCCCACCCCAATTTTTCCCAAGAGTCCTCCCAAGCCGCTGCCAGCCTGATGTCGCTCCATTACTAAGACCTGGGGAGTAACATCCCGTCCCAGTTCAAGCAGTGCTAGCTAGATCACAGTGTCTTTAGCGTTTTTTAAAGTGTTGGCTGAATATAATTTCCTTTTAGCCTGTAGCCTCTTATTGCACTTGAATCCCGTGTCCAACATTCTCTGCTTGTTGTCCAAGGGTAGAAATTGAACTAAATATTTCATAATGTTATTTTCTGAACCAACTGTTGGCACTTCACTGGATTTTTTGGCTATGGTTGTTATTGTTATTTTTTTCCCCCTTTTATAATTTGGCAGTCTTAAGTCAAAAATATTGATGCCTTATTATTTTTCTTTTTGCAAAAAATAAGTAACAAAATGTACAATACATTTTAGTGTCACATTTGTAAATTATACTTATTGATTCTTGTGGGAGTTTAAGATTGCTAAGTTAGAATTTCAAAATTTTTCATTAACTCAAGCTATTTTTTTCCTGGGAGACTTAATTCTTATACATATTTTTGTAGGGTTTTTGGTTTTTTTAAGCTCCTGACGCCAAATTCATTTCTAGTACTGGTAAATAAAAGCTCCAAAGCTTTTACAATAAATCGCAGGGTGGTAAGTAACGCTTAGCGCTGATTTCTTGCTTTTCTCCATGTCAAAAACGTTTCCTTCAGTCTGCTTACTGAAGCCACATGCCTGGTGTCTCTCCTATAAGCAATGACTGTTTTATTTAGTTTCGATCACTAACTTCTCCCTTCTCTGTTGCGTGTGCTGTCTGGGGACTGTTGCTATGGCTTTTGCTGTTGCTGTTGATAGATTCGGGCTCTTGATGGATCTTCCTTTGTGAGTGGAAAGAAGGGTGTCTGTCACAAAATGGATTGGGACCCAGGGCTTTGTGCATCCCAGACACCGAATTACGGTCTACACTTTACACAGGAGGAATTTGCAGGGGAAGCATTTAAAGTTTCTTTTTCCACAAGCTCTTCGTCATCTAACTAAAAGTCCGCTTGCAGGTGCATCTGACCAGTAGCCTGTGGCTAGCGTGCACCCTAGAGCAGCTCTGAGTGTGACCTAGCCAAAAAGGATCATGAAGTCAATGAGAATTATTTTTGCCAATGATTTTTTGGAAACTATATCTTGAGTGTGAACTTTGTCGATGGCAGTATCCTGTCAAAACATTGAAGGCTGGACACTCCTGCATACTGTCATTTGCAGTGAGTGGGAGCCTCTGCAGATGCCATCCAAGGTGGGTATTTATCTCCTTGTGGCTATTCAGTGTGCAGCATCAGGCATGAAGGAAAGAGTCTCTCTTTTTATTATAATGTCCCCACAATTATAATTTATGATTCTTAGCTCCCATGCTAGTAATTTTTTGTCCCAGACTTGAACATATAATATTTACATATTGTTGAAAATTTGAAACTCAAAATAGAGAGGAGGGAAAAAAGTTATCTACTCCCTTTTCCTTTTACTTCCCTTAAAGGGATTTTGTGATGGTTGTTCTTTAATTTCTTTTCTTATTTATTTGAGTTTCTCAAAGCCGGTGGTAGCATGTGAGAACAAAAACAGAATGGTAGGTAGGTAGGTAGCCATTCCTGAGGGCTTCAGGCTTGGTAACGTGTGGTAAGTCGATGTGTATGTGTGGTCTTTGTTGCTCATTGCTTCTGAGGTTCCAGGGAGCTGGGTCATCTGGGCTCTGTGATCTCAAGGTGGCTGGCTGAAGCTGGGCCAGTAAAGGTAACCTTAGTGAATGCTGCCATTGCTCTGGAGCTGATAGCTGAGTGAGGAGGAGAAAACAGCCCAGAGTCCCTTTGTGCTTCCTGAAGGTAGAAGGCCTAGAATGTGAAAAGGCGTGAAAGCAAAATGAAAGTTAATTCTAGCAGTTGAAAGGTGGAGCTGAATTAGGTGAGGCTGGCCGCAAACATGACAGGAGGTTGACCCTGTGTCTCGGAAAGAAGGGCATGAGGAGACTCTACACCGTGCTCCCATTGCCTCCAATTGTGAACACTAAGGGCCTTATAACTGTGTCCCATCTCTTTCTGCAATGTGTACAGTCAAAATGTCTAATGCAGCTTTATTGGTGTTTTAAAAATTGCTGTTGCTCCCTGCTGCAGGATCTAGAAGCAAGCTTTTTGGGATAGTTTCTTCAGTTTGTTTTTCTTGGGTAGGGCTGACCTGGCGTTTCCCTTTCAGTTCATGAGAGAGGAGCAGAACCAAAAGAGCAATGTTGGGAAGAAAGCTCTTGCAGCCATGTAACCATCACTATGAATGTCAGAATGGAGTTAAGGCACTAACCCTCTCCCTTGGCACCTGCCCGCCTCACACACCCCTGACCCTACCCCACCCACAGGGAAGACTCTGGTCTGCCAGGCATGTTGTCTACACCCCTTTGACTTGTGGTGGGAGGTGTCTCAATGACTCAGCTTCTTTCTGTATAATTTGTTCCTAATACATACCTAGCTAAAATGGTCCTCAGCAAATGAAAGCTCTTTCTTAGAAAGTTCCGAGGAGCCAAGCAAATGTGTGGGGTATTGACCAGTGGGTGTACCCAGATGGCTTTGACACAGGGTGCCATTTTGAGTGCAGTCAACTGTAACACTCACAACCTTCGCAAGAAACAGCTGAGCACCTGGAGAGCAGTGAAAAGACTCAGAGCCACCTGGGGGTGGAGGTGGAGGGTTGGTCGTGTTGCAAATGAGGGAAACCCTGTCACTGGCCAATGCTGGTGACCCTGTCTGACCTTTAGACTGATCACTCTAAGGACTAACTTACCACAGGTCCATGACCCACTGTCCAAAAATCCTTGGAGTGTACAGGTTTTAAATCTCAGGATGATTTGGTTGCAGAAAGATGGTCTAGAACATGCAACATTTATTACAGCTGCCTTGTGGGGAGGCAGAGTCCCATGCTGCATTCTAGCAATAATTCCGTAGCAACTTGTATCTATAATTATACTAAGAAGGATAAATAAGATTTATGGTTCAGACTTGCCACCCACAATGGTCTAAAAATACCCTGCCTTACTCTGTGAGCTGCCTGGATTTAGGAACTGTGGGTGAGTAGACCTGTATGATACTACTAACCTGGCTTTAATACCTGAGACAGGCATTTGAAACCTCTGTAACCAGTGAGTTATCCTTCTGAAGCAGTGACTGAGGTTCCAAATGATTTATCATGCTTCATGTCAGCACTCCCAAAGGCCCAGAAAGGCTGTTCCCTCCGGGAGGGAGATAGATATTGTTAATGGGGAGCAGAGGGACACACAGAAGCCACTGTGGGTTCTGGGATGGACCTGAAGGTAATGTAAAGTGCATGCCTCTTTTCCTGTCAGCATTTGGCGGTGGTGCAGGGACCCCAGTCTGCATTGGTGATGCCAGTCATTTGATGTTATCCTTGCAGCCATATGCTCCTCCGCACACTCCACCCCTACCTAGAGAAGGGTTGGCATTGGCTTTGTGCTTAAACACCCCAACTTCATTTTCCTTCCCCACCTCCGCCGTAATGCCGAAAAAGGAGCAGCTGTTCCATCTAATGACTAACCCACGATGCACCTCTGTCCCCTCGGCCTGGTGCCTGCTTTGCTGCCTGCTTTGCACCGCTTTGACCCTGCTGCTTGTGTCTTCTTCCCGCGGGACAAGAAGGACAAGGCTGAGGGATGCACCTAGCAGCCTGTGAATAGTTGCAGCATGCCTTGCGCCTGCTCAGATGTCAATCCAGGCCTCTTATGGGCTCTGCTGACCCATGTGGACCAACTTCCTGCTGGTTACTTGGTTCCCTCCCTGTCACATCCCTGGAGTTTACTGCCTGTGCTCAGTGACTTGGCAAGTGATGTACTGGCACCTCTCTAACTGCCATGGCCCTGCTGCTTCAGGCTTTCCATGCTGCAGCCATGATGGGTGAGGCTCGAAACAGCCATGATGGGTGAGGCTTGAAGCAGCCATGATGGGTGAGGCTCGAAACAGCTATGAGGAGTTTTGCATCCCAGTATGCGTTTTGCCTGCTACTATTAGTAACGGTGTCCCCGGCACAGATCTATCTATCGGTTCTGATACTAGCTTGAATGTGATTGTCCAGGTAAGAGATCTTCTGCTTCTACTCCCCTTTTGCTTGCTTTGCTTAATGATGTTTTTCTTCAGTCCTAAACCTGCTTGTCAGCTCCAACTCGCAACTTGTGGTCTTTAACCTACGCCTGTCTGACCTTAATTAGAATTTGAAAAAGAAACGCTTTTGAGATTTTTTTTTCGGGAAGGAATAAGTCAAAATGTATGTTTACTTTTTGGCCACACTTGATAATAGGATAGTGTTTCCTCATTTCTCACGGTGAGCTCCTTTTCTTTATGAACTCAAGATAAAATGCTCCATGCAGGCCTCTCCACAGGGTTTCTGTACCATCTGAACAGGAGAGCTGTGGACATCACTTCCGGTAAGGTCAGTTGCTTGTAGCTGGAGAGTTTCTCTCCAGCTCCTGGCAGTCCCGCAGCCTACTTATAAAATAAACACACAGATGCTTATATTACTTAAACTGTTTGGCCTAATGGCTCAGACTTCTTGCTGTCTAGTTCTCATATCTTAAATTAACCCATTTCTATAAATCTATACCTTGCCGTGTGGCTCGTGGCTTACCAGTACTTTACATCCTGCTTCTCATGGCGGTGGCTGACAGTGTCTCCCTGCCTCAGCCTTCCACCTCCCAGAATTTTTCTCCTCCTTGTCCTGCCTACCCTATCCTTCCTGTCTGGCTATTGGCCAATCAATGTTTTATTTATCGATCAATCATAGCAATACATTTTTACAGCATACAGGACATCCCACAGCAGTTGCTTCTGTCCAAAGTCCCATTGTTAGAGTTGTGATGTCAAGGAGGGTTAGAGAACAACTCTCAGGAGTGAGCACAAAGGATTGGATCTTAGATCCCAAGTGTTCTTCTAAGTTAAATTACATTGCAGGAAAAGGGAAGGTGCCCAGTTGGGTTAAGCATCTGAATTCTCCACTAATATCTTAGCATGGGACTCAAACAGATGGCCATACCCTAGGGATCTCCCTCTTAACTTGTCTGTTGGTGTAGCTCATGAGCAATGTGGAATTTTGCCTGGCCCATACTCAGCCTCCCTGGAGTTTAATTTGTGTGTGTGTGTGTGTGTGTGTGTGTGTGTGTGTGTGTGTGTGTGTGTTAAATAGAATCACAAACAAGCCTGTAAATTGAATCCTAGTCACTGAATGCCTTAGGGCCCAAGCACATTCCTGAGCTTTCCCTTCTAAACATCTCCCTGGACAGGTGATACCACAGGCAGAAGCCCTAGATGATCCAGCGTGCATTAGCCTTCTGCCTTGGACACTGGATTCACAGACAGGAAAATGAGGATCAGTCATTTCTCTTCCAGCACATAGTAGGACAGGAATCTCCCTGCCCATTGTCTAGCTCCTTCCCTCTCTGGCTACCCAAGTTCTTCAGTGAGTATTCTGAAGAAATACTAGTTATTGCAGTCAGGGGCAAGGTGGCAAGGAAACCTCTTAATATGTAAGACATGATTGCTCCCACATTAAATCCAATAAAGTCGATTGATTAAAAAAAAAATTAGCTCTGTGATGAACTAGGCCTTATTGTCTTACCTTTCATTTCCATTCTGAAAAGACAGTATGTGTAACAGAGTGGCCATAATGTTTGAACTGTAGCTTGACATTCTTCCTCCAGCAGGATCCCTTCCAGAGGCCTCCCCCAGAGGAATCACCACTCTGTGCCCTTGGTGCTCCATGAACTTGGCTAGGAGGCATTTGTTCTAGTATAAGTGGTTCCCGCTCTCAGCCAGAAGTCAGGGAGGCCCCTCAGCACATGGCAGATGGCATTGGTAGGCTGGTCCTTTCCATGTCAGTACTACTTTGAGTAATTGAGTGAGACATGGCTAGGATGGGTTACTGTTTTTAAAAGAACCCAGCTGAAGTCTTCAGATGCAATCTGGGTAATGAGAGAGTATTTAGGATGAGTGTATGTAAACTCCAGGCAGAGGCTGACCATTCCAAACCCCTGCCCTTGCTTTTCCAGCCAGTGGCACACAGAAAGCCTGGGCTTTTTCTCCATGTCAGGAATAGTCTAATCAGTTTCTTTTTGTTTAATCAATAATCCATTTGGATCAGAGCTTAGACAGCTGTATGAATGGGCCTTGGGTCCAAAGGCTTCTTTCTTAGTAATATTCTTGTATCATCAGGTGACTACAGCATAGTTCTTTGGATTAGTGGGCAATAAAATGGGCATATGGGGAAAGATACAATTAGAAAAATAACCCATGTGGTTTTGCTCCCCTCAGGGGACTGGCCACCTGCCTCAGCACAGCCATGCTGATCTGCAGCTTCCCTTCACCTTGAAGGGTGGCTCTGTAACAAAGACCACCCTTTCAGTATTTGAAAGTCCTAGAAAGAAGTTCCTCTCTTCCTTAGTTACATCTCTGTTGCCTGAGAATTCAGGCCTTCCCACCCACCAAAGCAGGGGGATCTACAAGAGAAACTGCAGATCAGAATGCTTCTTATCAAACCTGTGTTTGTTCTTAAGCAAAGACTAAGATCTGTGACTGTTACATTCCCTGAGTCCCTTCTCCCAACATGATGGCACTGTCCTCTTAGGTTTAGACTGTTGACGGGTAGGGCAAGTAGCTCATGCACTTTTATTCAGTATTAAGCATCTACTGTGTTGCAGGCACAGCTGGCTGTGGAGGGTAGTGGAGTGGCATTAGCCCAGCCCAGGGTTCCTGTCCAGAGAGGAGGAAATACCCAAATCTAATAAGCACGCATTGCAGGAAGATATACTGGGTGAAGAGAGGACACAGAGTCATGAGACTCGCTACCAGAGGGACTCTCCAGTCCTAGAGTTCAAACAGTGTCTTCCTGAGGAAATGACTTTTTAACTGGGTCACAGGTCGCAGATAAGACAGCAGAAAAGAGCCTGAGTGAGTTTCCTATGGTTGTTGTCATAAATGGCTGCAAATTTGTGTTAATATAGTACCCATTTGCTCACAGCTGTCAGGGGCAGAAGTCAGAGAACTAAAGTCAAGGGTCAAGCTCCAGGAGAGAGAGGCAATCCCTGTGTCTTCTACTTTTCTGACCTGCATCCCTGACAGGCCATGACCCCTGACCTCTCTTGCATCCTCTCAGCCAGCATGAAGTTTCTCTCTCCTTTGTATAATAGCCTGTTTCTGTGTCCTGGCCCCTCTTCCCCCCTTTACAATGACACACGATGGCATCCAAGGTTCTCTTAGATAATCCAGAATAATCCCGACTCAGGATTTTTTACTTATTTCTATAAGAAAATGCTCACGCCATTCCAGGGAGTATGCATGGAATACCTTTGGGGGCTTCTATGTACAGTTCTCCACTGAGTCTGGAGTCCACATGTGTGGGAAGTTCCCATGGAGGCTCAAAGAGCAGCATAACTCTGAGCTAGGACAGCAGCTGGAGGTAGGAGCTGGACAGGGTGCTGGGGATTGGCCGGACTGTGTGTTCCACAGGAAGTCTTGGATGCATACTTACAAGTTAAGTGCCGAAGGGTTTTGGAGAGGACAAGAAGACAGTCCGGTTGGACTGCATATATGGAGCTCAGTTTCTTGGGTACAGAACGGATGTGGAGAATGAAGTGAGAGGCTGTCACTGGTTTTTGAGAAAATGAATGGCATCCACACGTGTGCCGTGGGTGTGAGGCAGTGGGTAGTTTTTCAGTGTGAGACCTGGTGCCAGTGCCCAGAAGATGTCTCTGGATGCTGTTGTCCAAGAAGCTCTTCTCTGTGGACAGAGGTACCCTTATGAAATGCTCAAGGACATACCTAAGATAAACAAAACCTGTCATGTCACAAAGAGCTTTTCATAACAAAACATCAGGAAAGTAAAGATAGCATCTAGGAAGCCAGGTAACCAACATTCCCATGGGAATATAAATTTATACCAGCTAAATATTGGCTTGCAAAAATCCTTCCAGCGAGGACATATTCAGACAGCAAAGCAAGTGAGCTGACTTGGAGGACTACTCTCCAGGGTAATGGCCCAGCCAGGCCCCCACCGCAGGTGATCACAGATTCTGACTCACAGGCTGCCTCTAAGCACTTGTATCTACTGCCCCTCTCTGTACCCAATGCTTGCTGCTGCACGCTCAGGTTTGGTGGAGGGACATGCAGCTTGTGGGGAGAGCAGGCCCTGGGTTAGTGCACATGTGGCACTAGCCAAGGTCCTGGATTCAAATGACGGATCTCCTTGTCTCTGACCAGACCTGTGACCGAATCAAACAGTCGGCCAGTGGGACCAAGCGCCGGGTGTTCATCATTGAAACCATGGGCGGATACTGTGGCTATCTGGCCAACATGGGGGGACTTGCAGCAGGAGCTGATGCTGCCTACATCTTTGAAGAGCCATTTGACATCAGAGATTTACAGGTATGTCAATGAATGCATGACTCCGAGAGCACTTCGTTTAACCGCGTGATGAGTAAAGAAACCTTATTTGCTAACTGCCCATTGGTTTTGTGAAGGCTGGCGATGGTGTTGTAAAACACTGCAAGCTGTTTGCTTTTCAGCTGTCATCTCCAAGTCCAGATGCTTGTACTTGAGTCTTAGAAGCTCTTTGGATGGGTGACTATGACTAGGGAGGGTTGAGGCTTCTTCATGTGTGTGAAGATATTTTATACATAAGAGTATTTTGACAGTATGTGTGTATGTGCACACCTCATAGGCCAGAAAAAAGGTGCTAGATTCCCCTGGAACTGGAGTTAAAGATGGTTGTGAACTACCATATGGGTGCTGAGAACAGAAGCTGGGTCTTCTACAAAAACTAAAAGTGCTCTTAACGGTTAAGACCCCCTTTCTCTCTCTGTTTATGAATGTATATGTATCTTTAAATCATTATTCTTTTAGGAAATATGAAATACTTTCCCAATGTTTGGTATAAGTCACTTAAAAATACTTATTTAATGGGACCTGGTGTTTTAAATAACATCCCTCAGACCCTTTGAAACATTGTCATGGTCCTAGTTTTGTTTCCCATTGATACGATAAAATACTCAGGCAAAAGCAACTTAGGGGAGAAAGGGTTTATTTTGTTCATAGTTCCAGGGTATGGTCTGTTGTTACAGGGAAGTCAAAGCAGCTGGAACTTGAAGCTGCTAGTCACATGCACAGTCAAAAGCACAGAGAACCAATGCATGTGTGCTAGCCATTAGCTTACTTTCTCTTGTATATAGTTCAGAAGCCCTTCCTAGGGAATGGTGCCACCCATAATGAGTGTGCGTCTTCCCTCCTCAATTAACATAATCAAGATAATCCCTCATAGACCTGCCTATAGACCCAGCCTGATAGAAAGTACAGAGACTTTTAGGTGGTTGTAGATTGTGTCAGGTTGACAGTGAAAACTAACCATCACATTCATGAACATTTCAAAAAATGTATGTGTTAGGCAAATGTATAGAGTAAGTATTTTAGGAAGGAAACCTATTTGGGGATGGGGCAGTATTCATTTACTAATAACTATATTCAGTAGCATAGTGCCTTCTCTTAAACATTCTATGTTTATCTGATTTACTATCAATACCATCATGTTTCCCATTACCCACTATATTCCTGTGTACTGTAATATCCCCCTCCCCAAAAAACATTTAAGCTATAAAAGCTGCTGACTATGTTTATACATGGTGTTACATTGTAGCATAAATGGTATTATAGTAGGTGCCCAATAAGTGTACTGCCTAATTGATTAATAAAACATTCTTTTCTAGTCCAATGTAGAGCATTTGACAGAGAAAATGAAGACCACCATCCAGAGGGGCCTTATACTCAGGTAATGGAAAGTGTTTGCATACTTCCATTTTAGATGTGAGTTCTTGGGCAGAAGCTGCCATGTGATCTAAACCCCAGAAGTATCTTTCATTTTCCACTGATTCTATGAATGCTGAAGAAATACAGGTACAGAACTGAGTTGTTAAAAAAACAGGTTTTCCTTTAAGTAAAGGGCAATCTTTTATAGTTTATTTCTGCTCTATAGTCTATAAGTTATTTTCAAGACATCTGCAAAGAGGAAGAAAGGGAAATATACAGAGAGTCAGGATAGGGACAGAGGTGAAGGAGGCTGATGTGGCAAGTGACTGGGCACCCTGAGCCTTGAGCAGTCCGGCTGGAAAGACCTCAGCCCCTCTCTATAGCCCTGAGTAAACTTGACTCCTTCACATTCATTTCAGAAATGAAAGCTGCAATGTAAATTATACCACTGACTTCATTTACCAGCTCTACTCAGAGGAAGGCAAAGGAGTGTTTGACTGCAGGAAAAACGTGTTGGGCCACATGCAACAGGTAGGCTGAGGTCTTCTGTGACCCCTGAGCCTCCAGGGCTCCCCTTTATAATGGTGCCATTCTGTGGGAAGTGAGCATAAGTAAATTCTGAGGTTATTGTAAGTATCCAGAATTATAAGTCATACCAAACACCGTCATCTTTAGGGTTCCCTGTCTTCTGTAATATCTGGGTTTTATGGGAAATGCTTAGTTGCTTTGCTCATGGCTGTGATTGAATAGCTGGCAAAAAGCACCGTCAGGAGGAAGGATTTATGTTGGCTGATAATTTAAGGGGATAGAGCCATCGTGGTGGGAATAGAGCCAACCATAGTGGGAATAGCATGGGGACAGGAGTGCGAGGCAGCCGGTCACTTTGAATCCACAGTCTGGAGGCAGAGGGCAGTCAGGAAGTGGGGCTGCGCTAAGGGACATCAACTCTGCCTCAGGGATCTACTTCCTCCACTTAGGCTATCTCAAGCTCCACCCCCAGTAGGGGACCAAATGTTCTAAGGCATGAATCTATGGGGAGATTCCGCACTCAAACCACAGCAGGATTTTTATAGGAAAAACTACCAGCTCCATGTAGACGAGAACACTGGTGACTGGAAATACTCTGATTACTTCTTTATTGAATTAAATACTAGCATTTAATAAGATTTAAGGTGGAATATGAGACCAGTAGTATTTACTTGACACTTTCACCAAATCAAGATCATTTGGAAATATAGAAGTACTTCTCCACCTCCAGAATAATGGCAATTTCTTTTCATTTTTTTAATACTCTCCATTTATGACAAATGAGTGCACCTAGGTGACAAGGCTAGCGGTCAGCGTGGGAATCAGTGGCCCCATTTTTCCTTATTTGCTGACCTATGTGCATTGCTGGGAACTTTTTATCTTCATCCATCCGTGTGTGTGTGTGTGTGTGTGTGTGTGTGTGTGTGTGTGTGTGTGTGTGTGTGTGTATGTTGCACATGTATGTATATGCACTGCGGTGGTTTGAATAGATATGTCCCCCATAGGCTTGTGTGTTTGAATGCTTGGCCTATAGAGAGAGTGACACTATTAGGAGGTGTGGCCTTGTTGGAGGACATGTGTCACTGTGGAGGTGGGCTTTGAGGTCTCATAAATGCTTAAGCTACACCCAGTGAGACACTTCACTTCCTGTTGCCTATGGATTTAAAATATAGAACTCTCAGCTCCTTCTCCAGCACTCTGTCTGCCTGAGTGCTCCTCTCCATGATGGTAATGGACTAAACCTCTGAACTGTAAGCTAGCCCCCAGTTAAATGTTTTTGTTTATAAGAGTTGCTGTGTAGCCGGGCGTTGGTGGCGCACGCCTTTAATCCCAGCACTCGGGAGGCAGAGGCAGGCGGATCTCTGTGAGTTCGAGGCCAGCCTGGGCTACCAAGTGAGCTCCAGGAAAGGCACAAAGCTACACAGAGAAACCCTGTCTTGAGAAAAAAAAAAAAAAAAGAGTTGCTGTGGTCATGGTTTCTCTTCACGGCAATAGAACACTGAGTAAGACATGCACCCTTTTCCTTCCTTTGGTGTGTATGTACATGTGTGTTCATTGTATGTGGAGGCCTGAGGTTGACAGCAGGAATCAGACATGATTGCTCTCCCACATTATTCACAGAGGAAGAGTCTCAATCAAATTCAGAGATCACTGATATTGCTATTTGGCTGGTCCATGAAGATGCCCACTTGAGGGAACTTTTAAACTAGGAGCCACGAACTTATTTCAAAAGAGTTCACGAATTCCTGAAGTTAGGATGAGTAGGAATATGTATGCTCTCATTTTTTGAGTCCACAGATTTTTATCAGTAAAGGAAGCTGTGATTCATCCCGGATATTAGAAATGGCCTGGGAAGATGACTCAACGAATAATAGCTCTTGCTCTGTAAGAATGAGCACCAGGATTTGAATCTCCAGCACCTGCATAATAAGCCTGGCACAGCTCCAGGTGCCTCTGGCCCCAACATTGGGATGTGAGATAGAGAAGACTAGCTGGCCAGGCAGCCTTGCCTAAATGGGGAGCTTCCAGTTGTATGAGAGATCCTGTCTCAAGGCAATTGTTGGAAAGCTACAGAGGTAGACACCTGATCTCTTGCTCTGCCCACTGCATGTGCACACATAGATGAGCACATCTGCATTCTCACATGCCTGTACCACACAGACAGACAGGAAGAATGATAGCTTACTTGTTTCGTGGAGAACACTACAAAGTTGTGTAGCAGGCCGAGGTGAGGCTCCAAGACATGTAGGCCTGCTTCCTTTTTGTCCTGTATATGCAAAACCAAACCATGTTTGCCGATTTGCAGTTCTAAACACCACACGGATCTTGTTAAGTGATGGTATTTTTTTATTGGTTTCTTTTTTTTTTTTTTTTTTAATCTGGAGAAATTGCTTACATGTCATATACCTTGCCCACCACAGGGGGGAGCACCTTCTCCATTTGATCGGAACTTTGGAACAAAAATCTCTGCCAGAGCTATGACGTGGATCAGCGACAAACTGAAGGGGTCCCTGGGCGCAGGTAGGTGGGGAGAATGGATGCACAGTGTGAGATGCCTCAGCTCTCTCACTGGGAACCGTGTGTTATAAAGCTATGATGTTTTTCCTTGTCCTTTAAATCCGCCATTGAGATGCCTGGCATACTATCTTACCCTTCCTTGCTTGTGAGTACTGAATACCATTTATGACTTCCCAAGGTTATAATTAAACATATTAACAAAAATAAATGTTTTATTTCTGCTGTTAGCAATGGGTGGCAAGTAGTTGCCAGGCACACATTGCTTGCCATTAGCAAGACTGTAAAATGTAGCTTTTACTTATTTCTGTGATGTCATGAAACACATTCAAGGTCCTTTTATTTAAGCTCTCTAACCGTGGTTCATTGATTTGATTCACAGGCAACTTTAACATAGGGTGGGAAATATGCACAACTAACTGGGAGTTCTCTGTCTTATTTCCTATTTCCCTTCATCAAACCCTTAATAGTGTTTTTGTTCGTTTGTTTGTTTGTTTGTTTTAATTCTCTCATACAGTACTTCCTGATGACAGTTTCCCCTCCCTCCACTCCTCCTTTTCCCCTCTTCCTTCTCCCCCAGACCCACTTCTCTTCCATTTCCCTTCAGAAAAGGGCAGACCTTTCAGGGATATCAACTGAACATGGCACAACAAGGTACAGTAAACTAGGCATAAAGCCTCGTATGAAGGCTGGGTGAGGCAACCCAGTGAGAGGAAGAGTTCAAAGAGCAGGAAGAGAGTCAGACACCCCCACTTCCACTGTTAGGAGTCCCACAAAAACACCAAGCTAACAACCATCACATATATGCAGAGGACTCAGTGCAGACTCAGGCAGGCTCAGTGATTGTTGCTACAGTCTCTGTGAGCCCACAGGAGCCCTGCTTAGTTGATTCTGTGGGCCAGGTTCTCCTGGTGTCCTCAATCCCTCTGGCTCCTGCATTTCCTCCTCCCCCTCTTCTGCAGGATTCCCAAGCTCTAAGGGGAGGGACCCGATGGGGATTTCCATTTGGGCTCTCTCCACCTAATGTTTGGCTGTGAGTCTTAAATACTATCTTTCTGCAATGTTTTATTATCTCCTCCACAGATAACCTTGGGATTCTATGATAACCAATGTCACTGTGAAGTTTATACATCTTCAAGGTGTAATTTAGCTCAGCATTCTAGCTTGTATGAATTAGTTGGATGGTTTCTCCGGTCCTGCCAGGCCCCCCCCTGTAGTCCCATGGCCTGCTTATAAAATAATGACTCTGAAGCTTATATTAATTATAACGGCTCTGCCATTAGCTCAGGCTTATTATTGACTAGCTCTCACACTTAAATTAACCCATAATTCTTATCTAGGTTTAGCCAAGTGGCTTCGTACCTTTTCTCAGTTCTGCCTTGTCATCTTGCTTCCTCTGTCTGCCTGGTGACCCCTGACTCAGCCCGTCTTCTTCCCAGAATTCTCCTCATCTGCTCGCCTGCCTATACTTTCTGCCTGACTACTGGCCAATCAGCATTTTATTAAACCAGTGTACAAAAGCATTATCCCACAGCATATGAAGGAAGGGTATGCTTCTGTACTTTTCTGATGGTCTTGTTCACACATTGATGAAGATACATAATGGAACTGCTAACTGCTAAGGCCAACTAACCCTTCAGGTGTCTCTAAGTTTCTTGACTCAATATGCTGTAGTGTCTGGGCTCTCTCCCTCCACCACACCGACCCAGATGGATGCTCAGCACAGGCTCTAAGCCAGACCCAGCAGTCTTTTGCTCACTCACAGGCACACTGGTTTGCTTTATGTCCACCTGGCCCATGACTGACACCCAGACTGCTTAGATGTTGCAGTTCTTTGGGGTAGGACGCTTGTTTTGGTGATGGAAAACATCTGCCAGCTGTTTCCCTACTGTTGTTTCCATAGGGTCAAGTTGGAAAATGGAGGGTGGAGGGGCTTTCCTCCATACTCTGTGTACCATGGGAGTTTAACTTTCAGGATGTTTGGTAGACCCTTCCTGTGAAACCATCTGTCAAAACCTCCAGTTTCCTTTGTGGAAAGATTTGAGTGCTAAATGTATTTCATTCATGCTTAATGAAACTGCACACTTTTTTTTTTTCTTGGATAACTTTTCTAACATGTTTTCTAGGATAGTTTACAATCATTTACATTATCAAACATTTGCATGAGACTTTTCATACTGTTCCCTTTTGAGGCCTGCAGTTCTAGATCCCATTCCCTTTTCATAGTATTTATACCAGGGTTTTTGGCACCCTCTCCCCACCTCAGGCTTCTTTATCAGTCATACTAGGTATGTTTTCATCAGAAGAGATCTACACAATGACCAACATGTGGCTTACAAATGTGGCGCTCTACAAAAACAGATATAAAAAGTTCCAGCTAACTTTTAGTATTTTCAAAGTCCTGTGATTTTTTCTTCTCTTGATAATTTTTCAACATCACTTCATACTCTTGTATTCTTTCTGACTAGATTTCCTTTCCCAGTTTGTCTTTGAGCACTAATTATTAAAGTGAACTCTTCTTGCAATTTGAGCAGATATTCTTATTACACTATTTAGTGAAACACTTGGCCAGCACTCTAGAAAGTGCTCTCTTACTTTAGGTGGAAGGCAGGTAAAGGGCTCCTCTTTGGGTGTGTGACATAAAGAAGGCCCCAGCAGAATCTAGGCCTCTTTGTATCCATCCTGGAGGAGCCTTGATGGTACCTAAGGAAACAAGCCATGTTGGCCGTCTGGGAAGGACCCTAGTCTCAGAGGTCCCCTCAAGAGACTGCACAGCTGATGCTCAGGAGTACTCCACACTCCCATTGGGCTTTGCACTGAGCTGACACTCTTCAGAAGGCCTCCAAAGAGGGGCAGTTCTTTCCTCAATACACAGATGTACTCTCTGATGGTTTCTCTCACTTCACTGTCTTGTTTTTTACTGCGCTGGTAAATGTGCTCACTCAATATGCTGAGTAATTCTTAGATTTCTTATTCTAACTTTTACAGGGAAAAAATTTGTTAGCGATGATTCCATTTGTGTCCTGGGAATAAGCAAAAGAGACCTCCTGTTTCAACCAGTGGCAGAACTGAGGGAAAAAACTGATTTCGAGTAAGTCAATGAAATGAAATGTTCCTTATCTGAATCTCATCATGAGATGGTATGAGAATAGGAACTGTGAGGACAGATCACCAGTGCTACCCTGGCTACTGTATGGGACTCACTTATTGACCTCTTTTAGGTAATATATGAGCTTTTCTGAAGCTAGTTAAGTGCGTGCGTGCGCGTGTGTGTGTGTGTGTGTGTGTGTGTGTGTGTGTGTGTGTGTGTGTGAAACTAGGGCAGATGTTTTAGGAAGAAACAGAAGGAATGGTTTCAACTCACCTGTGTAGTGGGGTGTGGTGGAATAGGTCTGTAATCCCAGCACGGAAGCTGATTTAGGGGAGGCCTGAATTCAAGGTCAGATTGGACAACATGGTGAGACCTTGCTCCAAAACACTAAATATATAAAGGGCTGAGGACATAGCTTTGTAGTAGAGCACTTACCTAGCTGTATGGGGTAATCTCCAGTGACATATATGCATATACACATATATACATATGTACATACACATACAGACACATATGCACACACACACACACACACACACACACGCACACACACACACACACACACACACACACACGGCATTGTGGTAATACTTGTAATCCTAGCATTCATTTGATAAGCTGAAGGATTACAAGTTCAAGGCCACTCTGGGCTACATAGTAAAACCTTATCTTGAAATTAAAAAACAGTTGTGGTGTCTCCCCAGAGCCATATCAGGTGACTGCACCACAAAGCCCATCTTTTCTGGGAAGGCTATTCAAACAGCCCTCAGCAGCCTGTAGCAGTCAGAAGTTGTTTTCCAGTACAAATGTAATACTTGATGGCTGACTTGTCTTCCTGCCAGGCACCGGATCCCCAAGGAGCAGTGGTGGCTGAAACTGCGGCCTCTCATGAAGATCTTGGCCAAGTACGAGGCGAGCTATGACGTGTCCGATGCAGGCAAGCTGGAATCCTTGCGGCAACAGCAGGGCACCTCCCATGGAGAACCGGCAGCCATCTGATCAAGCATGCTATCGCCTGACCTACACACTTGTCTAGGGAAGCCTGTAACGTTCCCCGGGGACCATGCTTTTTGTAACATAGTTATTTATCAGCACTTTATGCAAGTATTGTTGACCAAGCATTGTCAGCAGTAATAATCAGAGAGCGCCACTTGCCATGACCACTGACCCATCAGACCCTGAGAAATGAAACCCAGCCTCGTGTGCTTGATCCGGTGTCAGTTTTCTACTCTATGGGGTACTTACTGTCTTGTGCTTTACCATGTGTATATCTTGTGGAAGTAAACATTTGGTTACAACTCCCATGGTCCCCAGCTCATTGTTTTAAGTAAGATGCTCTTTACTTGCCACCAAGGGTTTCCTCAGCAGTTTTATGGATGGAAGTTAGCCAAGTCTCCTTAGATACTCCAGGGGCAGGTATAGATGGGGACCCTGCAAATACAGTGTCATGAAAGGAGGGGAAAGGGAGCGCTATGATAGACGCCAGCTGTGTGCCACTAAGCGTGCCACATGGCACTCCTCTGTGTCCATACTGAAAGGGATGGGTTAGAGGACCTGAGTTTGGATCCCCACAACCCATTAAAAAGCTGGGTGTAGTGGCATGTACTAGCCGAGACAGGCAGAACTCCCTGGTGTGCTGGCCAGTGCCAGCCTGCTTAATGGGCTCCAGGCCAGGGAGAGACCTTGTGTCAAAATACAGAACAGAACAAATCAAAACCTGGTGGGTGATGCTCCATGCAGGACACCACGGGAAGTCTTCTGACCTCCAGCTGCATATGATGCAGAAAATCTGTCACATGCTCTCTCTCTCACCAACCCCCTACCCTCCTACCCCCCCCACCCTCCTACCCTCCCCACACGCATGCAGTGCTGGTTTGGGACCTGAGCTTATCTGGCTTTGACACTGATGATTGTATACGTGGAGAACATTATTAACTCCAGGTTTGTGATTTAGCTATTTAGAGGTACATCACTATGCTTAGCTAGATCTTCTTTGAAAATGAGATCAAGTGTAGAATTTTTAAATGACAAGTATTAAACCTGTGGTTAAGAGTAAGATCTCTCGTATTCTCAGTTTCAGCCCTAGTTGTACACTAAAGCCACCAAGGGGGTTTGAAGAACAATCTACCAACTTCTTCAAAAGCAGTGGTGCTGAGTGGAACTCGGGCTTTCACCCTCGGAAGGATCCTAACTCACTATTAAGGGTTAATGATGGGGTCCTAGGCAATAGACCGTCCACTCCACCCCACCCCATCGTAAATTGATGAGTCCTCTGCAGGGCAAAGCACCCTTGCCTCTTGTCGCTATCTAGATGTTCTCACTTCTAAAGGCATCCTCTAGACATCTACACAGCAGTAAGGAGGAAACTACAGAGGAAAGGGGTAATTAAAAGTCAATTGTGTTTGAGGATAAAATATAAAAGGCACAGACACTCAGTCTTCTTCCTGTCTCAGTAATGACAGAGGGCAAAAGCTTGAGTTAACATGAACACGGTTAGTTCTTAAGTGGATGCTCACTGGACAGCCCTGTGGGACTCAAATCTGCACTTCCCTTCAGGCTTATGGTGTGATCACACACACTCCATGCAGATCTCTCCATTTGTTCTGGTAGTCTTCTAAAAAAAATGATTTATCCTATGTGTGAATATTTGCCTGCATGTATGACTGCACCAAATGCATGCAGTGCCCTTAGGAACCAGAAGAGGAAATCAGATCCCCAGAAACAAGTTACAGATGGTTGGGAGATGCTATATGGGTTCTGGGAACCTATCTCTGGTCTGCAAGAGCAGCAAGTGCTCTTAGCTGCTGAGCTATTTCTCCAAATGAATATTCATTCCTTAAACAAACAAAAACAAACAAACAACCCCCCCCCAAAAAAAAACCCCCAAATTTACTAATTTTAAAGTAGTAAAATGTTGTTTAAAATAATGACTAAACCCAGGTAGGTTAGAGATGACTTTTATTTTTAAAATAAATGTTCTAGGCTTAGTAATGTTTCAGAATTTTAATTCGTCCACCTCTATCATTTAATGCATGATAACTTTATGTCTTCATGGTCACAGTATTTCCTTAAGTGTCTTTGCCTACCTTGTGAGTCAATAAACATCTTTGGTCAGACTTTTAATATAACTATGATTTTTTGGAACAACAACAAAGCAGCAACACTTGTGATCATTCCAATTTTAGTTCAGGGGCTTAGTTATTAAGAGCCTCTGGTTTCTTACATATACTCAGAAATATGAGAGATTCATTATCATCTTATGATCCATGATGGGTCTTTGGCAATTTTTGAGTTCTCTGGCCCGAGTATAGCCAGGCCGTGTGTGCTCTTCCCGATGCCAAGGTACCTGCAAGGGAGATGGCACATTGGACCATTTTCTATTTGTAGCATTTTTAGTGGTCAACAGTGGTCAAAGCCTTTACCTTTCTGAGTTTCCCTCCCCACAGCTAGCCCAGGCAGCCAGGGGACACATACTACTCACTTATGGCTCACAGAGGTCAGTTTGTCATGGCTGACGGCAAAGAGCTGTTCCCGGTACGCCTGCTTCATTTCATCAGAGAGGCCATACAGGAAGTGGTCCATTCCTAAAAGTGAAACCACAGGTCTGGCTGGGGAGATAGGTGGCTTGCACAGGGGCCTCTGTGCTCAAAGTATAGTGGGAACACTCATGTCACTTTATGGTATGCTCTTCAATCAAAAAGGTTATGTGGGCAAGAGATCAAACTTGACATCCACCTCTACAAAACGGTACCAATCCCAGTATAGACTCCCTTTCCAGAGTAAGGATGCAGAGTCAGTATAGGCCTCATGGGTAGGAATACCGTAAATAAAAGCAGCATTCAGTAATGATGTGGCCAGTCTGGTGCTAGGTCAAAATGTCTTCCTTCACCCAAACTAGCTATCAGATCCCCTGGGAATGAAGTTACAAGTGGGTGTGAACTGCCAGAGTCAGATGCTAAGGCCCAAACCCAGATCCTCACTCTTAATTGCTGAACCGTCTGCCCAGCTCCACCCTCCTTGCTTTTTGAGACAGGACTTCCCTCACGGGCTTGGAGCTTACCAAGCAGGGTATGTTGGCTGGCTGACTGGTGATCCTCAAGGATCTACCTGTCCTCAACTTCCCAGTGTTGGGATTAAGAAGTACCTACCACCGTGCCTGGCTTTTTACATGGAGTCAACTCAGGTCTTTACTGATGAAGCTGTTTTTAAGGTCAATGTTCAGGTGTTCAAGTGTTAAAATCTTAACACACAGGATAGAGAGATGGAGAAACTGCAAAAACATAGTTGCTACTGTGTGGTGGTATTGTGTTCCCCAAAATATTGTGCACCCTAATAAACTTATCTGGGGTCAGAGACAGAACAGACACTAGATACAAAGTCTAGAAAATGGTGGCACTCACACCTTTAATCCTAGCATTTCAGAGGTAGAAATCCCTCTGGATCTCTGTGAGTTCAAGGCCACATTGGAAATGGGCAGGCATGGTGACACAGGTCTTTAATCCCAGGGAGTGATGGTAGAAAGGAAAGATATATAAGGCGTGAAGACCAGAAACAAGCATTTTGGCCTGGTTAAGCATTTGGGCTGGTTAAGCATTCAGGTCTTTGAGCAGCAGTTCAGCTGAGACCCATTCAGATATGAGAACACAGAGGCTTCCAGTCTGAGGAAACAAGACCAGCTGAGAAGCTGGCCAGGTGAGGTTAGCTGTGGCTTGTTCTGTCTCTCTGACCATCCAGCATTTCACCCCAATAACTGGCCCCGGGTTTGATTTTATTAATAAGACTCTCTAAGATTCCTGCTACACTACTGGGTTTCATTCAGGTGAGTCAAGAGACACATGACTATGAAAACTGTCTGGAATTCTGCCCCCGGAAACCCAGGTTACCCAGGTTACCAAGACTTAAAATACCTTTATCCGAAGGAGCAACAGGAGAATCCACAGCAGAGAAAACAGAAAGCTTGGCTTCATCGATGTCCTGCTGTGTGAACTTCCCAGATTTAGCCCAGTCTACAGCCTTCCCAAAAGATTGGAGTGTTTCTATGGAGTTTGGATCCCTGGGAACCCAAAAGAGCCAAAACTGAAGCATTATATCAGAGGGGGGAAAATGGATGATAATCATGTGGATTTAACATTTTTAATTTTTTTCTTTCTGAGAGTCTACATTCTACACAGCCCACTGACAGAGCAATGTCCCTGGAGATATTTACATCTGACCCAGGCAGCCTCACAACACACTCCCTCTATATTGAATACCACAGTTCACCTGCTTACCTCGCTGCTCGACTGTGACTTCATCTAGAGAGGAAGTCACATGGATGGTGGGGTGTCAGGAATAGCAAGACATTATAGAAGAGCCAGAGAAGATACACATTAAACCTGCCCTGACTTCCCCAAGACAGACCTAGAATAATCCAGAAATGAGCTAGAGCGGGGTGGGGGTGGTAGGGGGTGGGGTGGTGGGGTGGTGGTGGTGGTGGTGGTGGTGGTGTATATATTTCTGGAATACTTTCTTGTGTCCAATGCTCCTCTTAGCTCTTTAAGCTCACCATCAAGGACCTGCAGATTTGTCAGTGGGACTCTCCCTGTCTAAAGTGCAGTTCTAACGCACAATCAGGACATGGAGAATGGCATCAGTGGCAAGGCCTTGCTCTTAGCAGGCTGGCATCCAAGACTTCAGGGAACAGTGCCTGAGAGACTAAACATTCACAGAAATGGCAATAGTCCCACACCTGTGAAAACCCAAGAGAACCATATCTTGCTTAGGTTCCCACAACAGAAGTAAGTTCAGAAAGCACTCTGATTGCATTCTACGGAAACATGCTGATTATGAAGCTAGAATTTTGTCTAAGGTAAACAATTCAACAACACAACCCTTACACTACTGTGTCTGTTCCTTGGCATAAGAAAGATACAGTCTGGTGGTTAGTTGCTCAAGATGGGGACCAAATAAACAGATGTAACCTTCATTGTACTAACATTCACATAGAATGGCGACATTCTGAGTGAATGGAGCCAGTGGCTGGAATGTGGGTGCTCTCACATGGGAAACATGACAACTCAGAAACTCACCTGTAAGAGTAAAGCGTGAAAATCCCACTGTGGCTGAGTTTAGCACCTCCACCATAAGCACCTCCTTTTTCTCGAATTTCTGTATGCAAGAATTTAGCCGTCATTAGACGGGCAAGGATCTTAAGACTGAAATAGAGGGAGCAAAAAACAAGTTAGAGCATGACTCATAGAAAGTGTAACATAAAAACCAATGTCAAGAAATGGGGTGGATGAGAAAAGGAAAATACAGTCTGG